TTTTTTTTTTTTTGGTTTTCGTTCGGTTTCCCAGCGTGTGTGTTTGACTACTAGCTGTGCCATGGACGGAGACGTGAATCAGATGCTGCTGGCAACAACCACGGCCTCGGCGGAGGGCATTCAGGCCAGTGAGCGATGGCTGATGCGGCCAAAGAAGCGTGGCAGCGCCACCGCAAACACAACTGCAAATGCGGCCAAGGCGAGCAAAAAGGCAAGACCCGAGGCAGATGCGGACGCCAATGATGGCCCGATGGAGGTGTCTGCTGGCGGGGATGTGGGCGCGTGCGCCTCCTCGTCGCCGTCAGTGTGCGCCGTGGAGGGGATGGTGCACCGGCTGGTGGAGTACGTCATTGAGAGACAGCTGGGAGGCCGCCACAACGCCTCGCGTGGAGACGGCAAAGACCTGGCGCCACTGCCGCGCGCTGTGCTCTGCGCTGAAACCTCCACCATGCGGCCGGTTGCTCTCTTCCACGTGCACCACACAGTGTACGGCAGCACTAGTACGACACAGAGTGAAAAGGCGCCGGACGCGATTGTGCGCTACCGGAAGAAACTGCACGTGTGCAGCCACGATAGGGACCTTGTGGGTGGCGCGGTCGACGGTAGGCCGCTCCACACGCGGAGGCACCTTCTCACGCTGGTGACCAAGGGCCTCAGGGGTGAGCGCATCGACGAGCTGCCCGTGAAGCATGCCGTTGCGGAGGAGGGACAAAAGATGGTGGACACGCAACACGACGTGGTGGTGCTGTTCGACAGCGCGAAGCAGGGGACGCTGAGTAGTTTCCTGCAGGACTCCTCCTCTTCTTCTGATGATGATAATGAATAGGAAGAAGAATGAGAAGTGAGTTGCTGGCTCATTCCTCCGCGTTGGCCTTTTCGTTAGGAGAAAGGTAGGAGCTCCTGTCGCCTCAATGGTAGAGGAGTGTAAGGGTCTGATGCTCCTTTTTGCCTCTCCTACTCGTTCTTCTTGCCGTTTATGCACAACAAAGCGAGATCAGTTCTTTGGTTTTTTTATATATCTCTGTGGGTGCAGGTGTGGCTGTATTTCATTTACGTTAGCAGATGCGAGCGCCACCGCCTTGTGAAGAAGGTTTGGGTAGGGAACAGCGGCGAGAGGAGGAGCCCACGCATGCTGTGTTGCATTACCGCACTGGCTCCATGCCCGATTTGGAGGCAAAGGTGCGTAGCGGAAAGGTGGTGATTGGGCGGCTGCGTGTCTTTTCGTCCTATACCGCTGGCCTTGCGTTTGTCAGCAGCCCTGCGTTTCCGTGCGATGTGGTGGTAAGTGGTGTGGAGAACAGGATGCAGGCGCTGCACGGTGACATTGTCGCCGTGGAGCTGCTTCCAGAGGAGCAGTGGGCCTCCGCTACAAACGACTCGGAGGCCTATCCCGACGGTGACGGTGACACCGATGATGCTGACGATGATCTGAGGGTGCCGATGCCTCGTACACTTCCCGACGGGCGCGCCATCACACAGTGGGTGAAGGACACGACGCGCGAGGACGTCTCCAGGCCGGAGGTGAAGCTGGCGATGACGATGTCGGCGCCTGGAGTGCACGAATGGGGTGGAAAAAAACCGTTCGGTGTTGTACTTGCAGTCTTGGAGCGCCGCCGCTCGCTGTTCGTCGTGGCTCGCCTGCAGGACGGCGCACTGGGGCCCAATGAAATGGTGCAGAGCAATCGATACTACCAGTTTAAAAGCTACGATCCGTTGTTACCGCACATTGCAGTGTACGGGCGTGACGTCCCAGCGCCAATGCTCACCACGCTGGGTAACTACTTCTTTTTGCTGCGCCTCGTGACGCGGGGCGGTGGGGATTTTCTGTGGACCGCCCACAGGTTCCCTAACGGCAAAATTTTGCGGCCGCTTGGTGAGGTTGACTCAATGCGGATGAATAGCTTCGCGCTTTGTAGCGCAAATGAGATATCTATGGCGGACTTCTCAGACGAGGCATACGCATGCGTGCCGGAGGTATGCACGGTGCCTGAGAAGGCTGAGCTAAAGCGCATGGGGCGCCGCGATCTGCGCGAGGAGGAGTTTGTCTGCAGCATCGATCCGGCAACTGCACGAGACTTGGATGATGCACTCAGCATTACTCGCACACCAGGCGGCTACCGTGTTGGTGTACATATTGCGGATGTCTCGTATTTTGTTCCACCAGGATCGCCACTTGATGAGGAGGCGCGTGACCGTTCAACCAGTGTGTACCTTGTCGAACAGGTGATTCCCATGTTGCCACGCAAACTAAGCGAAGATTACTGCAGTTTGAACCCCGGGAGTGACAAATTCGCCTTTTCATGTATTTTCCACCTTGATCATCATGGGAAAGTCACTTCGGAGTGGTTCGGCCAAAGCGTCATTCGCAACCGCTGCCGCCTAACATACGAGGAGGCACAACGCATCCTGGACGGTGATGAGGCTGTTTTTGAGACGCTTGATTACGGTGGCGAGGGGCAGGCAAAGCAGCTTAAACCCCTCGTTGCACTATCAGTTCGTACCTTGTTTGAGCTGGCAACAAAGTTGCGTGCGGCGAGCATGCAGCGCGGTCGAATGACAATCGGCAACATGAGGCTATTCTTCGACTTCGAAGACATCGCAAAGCCAACCTTTCCCGTCGGTTTCGGCATCTCGCGACAGATCGAGGCCAACTGGCTTGTAGAGGAATTCATGCTGCTTGCGAACGGACGCGTTGCATCAAAGATTATTGAGTATCTGCCGGACCAGGCATTACTGAGGCGCCACGAGCCGCCAGACCGCAAGAAAATCGCCGCCCTAAGGGATTCACTCGCGCGTATCGGTCTCGACCTGCACGGCAGCGCTAGCAAATCGCTGCAGCTACTCCTAGACAACGCGAAGGTCAGCGAACACTACGATGATATATGTGTTATGCTAAAGTATGCCCTGCAGTCGGCGAAGTATTTCGCCAATGGTGGCGAAGAGGCGAAGGCGTACCGAGGTCACTATGCCCTTGCCATGCCATGGTATACGCACTTCACATCTCCCATCCGGCGGTACTGCGACATCATCGCCCATCGCCAGCTGCTCTGCGCACTTGAGATCGAGTCGATCGTGAAAAAGGGCCGTGGTGGTCAAGTTGCACCAAGCAGCATCAATGTGGACCAGCTCGCCACCCGACAGTTCTTTTACTCCGTCATTGAAGTGGAAAACATTGTGGAGGTGGCCAACGTAAAGAAGTTACGGGCGCGTCAAGTGAGCGACGCCTCGCTGGGGCTTTACTTCTGCCATTACCTCAAGGGGCTGCGGCGGGTGTGGGAGGAAGACGCTAATTCACACGGGCCTTTCATTCCACGCGTGGATGCCGTTGTTGTGCGTGTGGTGGAAAAGACCTCCTGCTTCACGGTGTTTGTGCGGAAGGTGGCGCAGACGGTTGAGATCAGCCTCAAGAGCAAGGAGCAGCTCTTCAAACAGGTGGGCGAGGTAAAGGGGAAAAATGGAGACGAAGAAGCGGCCAAAAAGAAGGCGGATCAAGGGGAGAAGCGGGAGCAGCAGCAAAAAAGGAAGAAAAATGAGGAAGACGTGAAGAAAGACGGCAAGCTACGCGTCCAGTGGGGGCAGCACCCCAAAAGTGGTGAGGAGGTGGAGGAGGAGCTGGTGCCGATGACCGTGCTCACAGGCGTGTTGACCATCAAGAAGCAGAAGGGCTACGAGGAGCTCAACATGATTGTCGATCCTCCGTGGATGAGAGGGGGCGAGAGAATGGAAATTGCTACGACGCTCCAACGGGAGTAAGAGTTGTCATGACGCTTTGCTCCACAGTTCTCTCTTATTCTTTCTGCGGATGTACCTTTTTTTCGTAATTTATGCGTGCTTATTAGTTATTTGTTGTTTTTGTTGTGTTTTTTTTTTTTCAAGCGGTGGATTACTTCTTTTCCTCATTCTCTCGTTAAACTGCTCCTCTTTGCTACTGCGTTGCTTGTGCGTGGTTTTAAACCCGTTCCGACGCGCTGATAAGAATCAGACACGCACTCATGTCATCAAAGAAGAGAAGCGGGAAGTCCGTGCCCACAAGTGCCGCCTCGGTGGAAGACGATGGTGGCAATTTTATCATCCCTGCTGAGGCACTCCCGGCTGTGCTACGCACCGGCAAATCGAATGGTCGAAACCACGTTGCCGCCGCTCGCCCTGGGCTCAGCCGGGTCGTCAACCACAACTGCCTTAGACCGCATGGCGCCCTGAATCCAGGGGACTTGGAGGCCCATCTTCACTCAGACGGACCTCCGGAGTCCTTGATGCAGGATATTGTAGCAGCGGTCAATGGTTCTCAGAAGCTTCTGCGCCGTACCCCTGACTTCACTATCTTGGCCGATTCTAAAGAGGTCATTGGCGTCCTCCATCGCACCGCTTTCCGGCACTGGTGGCTGGAAAGTGTCGCCAAAGAATGCTTAAGCGCTGCAGCATACCCGTTTACAAGCTTTCGTTTTAGGGCACCCCTCTCAGGAGACGCTTTGGGCTTTTCCCTTCCTGTTGTGGCAGAAGGTAAAAAAGAAGTTAACACTTGTATTTCCACTGCAGAGGCCATTCGGCGCATCCTCCTCGTATTTGCCAGGAACTCCAACAACGGTGATCGGGCATCTGAAGAGCTTCTTTTTCATATGCTGCAAAATGAGAAGGCCTCGGTTGAAGAGCTGCTCCTGACAAGCTATAACAGTCATTATATCACTGTTTGTTGCGGCCTGTATTTCTACCGCGTAGACGTGCTCGATCAAGAAGGATTGGTGGTTAGCGCAGATACCATCGCTGAACGCCTTCGAGCAGTAAAGGAGCACGCGGACTGCACGGAACGGGCACTTCGCCAGCAAACAATACTTCCCGAGGCACTAGAGGAGCTTGTTGCGTTCTACCAGCTTATAGGTCGTCTGACAGAGATTTCCCATGTGGATTGTGCGGCAATCATGGAGCGCATGCGAAATGCAAATCCTGTGAATAAGGCTTCTCTGGATGCCATTGATGCGGGCATCTTCACTGTCGTGCTACGAAATCGTGAAAATGGAGCCTCCTGTGCGCACTGGTACCGAAGTGCGTTGGTTCTGGAAGAAGAAGAAGAGAGTGGTGTGTTGACGATGCGTGGACACTCCACACTCATGCACAGTGATATGCTCATGCAATTTCTGCTGCAGGTCCTTTGCTGGAATGAAGATATGGACGCTATGGCTAGCACAAGAGATGAATCGTTGTGCACAGCGAATTCAATACCCGCCGATGTTAACCAAGTAATTGGAATGGAACACTTGGAGATATGGTTGCCATGGAAGCATCGCAAGCCCATGCAGCCTTACGCGGTGGCGCAGCCATCTCCGCAGATATTTCCTATTGCGGTGCCAAGCGAAGGGATCATGAGTTTTGCATCTCTCTGTGTATCTGCTGTGCTGGCGGTGCAGCGGGTGTTAACTCCCTGCGAGGGTTTCCCTGCGGTGTTAATCGCATTTCCACACCCACAAGGGGCTGTTTCGGCGGCACTTCTCTACTCGTGTGAGGTCGAGGCGCTCATTCAATCTCTTTGCTGTGGATCTGCGTTAGTGAAGTGTCGAGCAATGAGACAGTTAGCTTTGGAAGCACTACGGAGCGTGGGGAATATAATTGACATGTGCTTTCACGAACCATATCCTCTCTACTCAATGACAAAGCTTCTCGTTGCACAGGAGAAAGCGGCCGGAACGGATGCCGTAGCAGAGGGTGGTGTTTTAGGTGTTGTGGATCTTTTTGTAACAGTCGACATGTTGGGGTCGAGTGCAAAGGTGATGGGATGTAAGTCGAGTCTTGTTCTGCCGTCGCGCTTCGCCCTCAGCTGCAATGCGACAGGCAGCGTGCAGCGGCAACCGCCTTCCAAGGGTCCTTCTGGTGTGCATGTCACATTCGCATCGCTCGTGTCCCTTAAGGGTGAGGAGGAGTTGGCCATTGGGATGCGGCTGGCCAATTGCATGTCGGAGAAAGCCAAGCAGCTGCTGTCGCTGCTTTCCATGTAAGTCCGAGTCAGTTTCGGGTGGTTCATGTAAGAAACCCACAACCGCCATTCTCACGCTTTGGTGAATGCAACACACACGCACCCCATCTCGCTCAGGTTGTCCCTGCGGCTTGGGGTGTTCTGGGAGTGTCCAGTCACCGAAAGGTGACCTCTGTGCCACTTAATTGTCTTGGTACCGAATTGTGCTATGTTTCTTATTTATTCCCTTCTTCTTTCTTTTTAATTGCTTCTTGGGTTGTGCCCATGGCTTTGTTCCCCAAAAAGAGCGGAGGGAATCGAGCGTAGAGACATCTGGGTCACATGGCATTATTACACGAAGCCTCGCCGCTGCCGAGGACAAAGAACATCAGTCTGGCAGTCGACGGCTTCAAGTTGCACATCTACTGCGATTTGTCGCGGGACTATGGTGCCAGTACCAGCAAAAAGACTAACGTCATTGCCAGTTCTAGCGGCAACAAGGCACTTGGTTGCACCAACGCTTTTTTAGGAATCAATGTCTTTTGCAAAAATATGGATGCTCGAAGGTTAGACGAAGAGGCAACCGCTGAACTGCGCGAGATGACGCCAATGGGGAGCCATTGCGAGTGGTGTGTCAAGGGGAAGACACTTTGCATTGTGATCGACTTTAAGAACCTTGATGAAAAGACGGCGTCTTCTGGGAAGTCGGTGATACTTGCCTCTTCGGGGGGGAACAAGCCGGTTGGGAGGACAGGTATCATGTGCGGGCTGAACTGTTACATGCCCCTTGGCAGGGTTTTAGAGGTGGATAAGTTGGAACACATTCTCGACAAAGATGTCGTTGCAGTGGGTAGCACAGTAGACATCGGCGAGGGGTTCGTCTTGAAGATGGATAGTGATACACAGGCCACGGTGCATTACGAGTGCTTGCGAAGGGGCGAAGTGGGACCAAAGTCGATGTCGCCTTTTACCCTTAATTCCGAAGTGGCCCTCTCACTTCTGCTCAAAATGAGTAGTAAGAAGATGAAGGCTGAAAATACAACAGATAAAAAGGATGACGGATTTTTTGTACTGCCCATGGCAACAAACCTGCTGGTGCGCTGCGAGACTGACGATGACGACGAATCTGCCGGTACCATTTCCCTCGATGTCCGCTTCGACCCCACACAGTCCCACGGTCCTTCAGCTACAGGTAAATCCATAATAGTGTCCTCATCGGGTGGCTGGTGCAGCGTTGGCCACGGACTATCCATAAGCTTCAATGCATACAAAATGGCGGATGCCTTAAACTCATTCGAGATCCCACGAGCTGTTGAGAAAGTGCTTGAATCACGTTCCCACGAGGAGTTTGCATCGATATCCTTCAAGACTGTTCTGACAGAAGTCTCAGAGCTGTTGGGGTTGAAGGAAGTCGTGGATTCTGAAATGAAGGAGGATATAAAGAACGCTGTGATGGAATACGTTCGGAAGCAAAAATATTTAAACAAGACCTTTCCTTCCCATTACGCAGAAGAATCAGTATGAAGGGGATGTCAAAACTTTACTTCTCGGTAAACTACATTAATTGTATGCTCTTCAAGTATCAGGTGGACCGATGCAATACGCTATATAGCTTCCTCTGGGTCTGTGTGTGTGTGTGTGTGTGTGTTTGAATTCACAAGGATCGTGAAACCGCTAATAAGAGCAAGGTCAATACCAAATAGAAGAAGAGTGTTTTGTATCCATGACTCATATAAGCTTGTTTCCTCAGCCTGGAAATCATTATCTCTTGCTCTTTATTGTCCCTCAACTATTGCATTAATTCCAGGTGCTGGCAAGGAAAGGAGCCACCAGCGGAGCCGACGGATAAGAAACACACATCTTTTAAAAAAGAAATGAACCACGCATTTGAAGAACCAGCTGAGGTGGCAACTGTCCCCGATGCCAGGAATGTTAGGTACATTCTTCGCGGCACGCGGCTTCTCACACTGTTGATTAACTTGGCCGCCAAGATGAATGGTAAGGAAATTGCGAAGGCACAGAATGCCCGAATTGAGGACCTTCCAGTGCTGCTGGATCTCACTGTCGGGCTATTTGACCTCTCGGTGGAGAAAAACATTGCGGCGGTGGTAGCATTTAAAGATTTAGTCGATGTGGGCAAGAACACCAAGTGGGTTGTGGAAGGAACACTGTTGAAGATTGAGATCGACTTGTCATCTGGACCTGAGATGAGTAGAAACCACAAGTTGGGAACGAAACATGTCATCGCCTCCATCCGCGCAAATACCCCCATAGGCCAGTCGAAATGCCGCGCAACCTTGAAGCTGCAGTGCGAAGGTGGAGGGAGCTGGCCGGCGATGCTGTCACCACGAAGTGTCGTTGATTTTGGGGATGATACATCCCCTCCCGGCATCGTCGCGCGTGCGTTACAGTTTAGCCCGTCCGTCTCACTTGCACGGATGACTGATTCTCCTGGTGCCTATCCAGGCATGATTGAGCTCGACGATTTCGTTACTTTAGACTTGCGCAGTCTTCCTGTAGTGAAATTGCGCCTCAACATGTATAGAAAAACTGGGCAGTTTGTGAAGTTTACCGGTGATATCCTCTCGGGGATTGGCGTTTCATTGGTTGTGCAGTGCTGCGGTGAGTCCGATTCACCAACAAACAGACGTCGGGGCGAAGGAAAGGCAGTGAACATGTGGGCCCATGAGGAAATCACACCTTCCGGTGAGGAAGTCCTCGTTGTGGAGTTTGACTCCACAAAGGAGAGCGGTCCACGGAATGGTGCAAGGTGCATGATCAGCAACGCCAGTCGTCTCTCAGTCAAGAATCGCTATGTGGTTGACTTCACGGCGATCGGGCCCATTTCATTCCTGCCTAGTTTTTCGGAGGTGTACAACAGCGTCTGTAGATTCCTCGACCCTAACCCCAACCCTTTGCTGACGCTAAGCATGCCTGATGTGCGGGCACACGTGGCGAGTGATTTTCCACTGCGCACTGTTAGTCGGGAGCTGAAAAACCTTGTGTGGCAAGCGGTGCGCCTATACATCATAAAGGACTACATGCCCCACGAGCGTTACGAAGCCTCCATGTCGCCTGTTGCTCCAAAAGTTAGATAGAGAAAGTCTGTGTGGGTGAGTGTCTGTAATTGCCCATGTCTTGAATGTTGCCTGGTAGTGCTGGTGCTTTGCAAAGAGGTGTTGCTGTTTGCTGCGATGGGTGGAAGCCCATTGCTGCCGGTTGGGGGGTGGGGGGCGACAGCGTCGTCGCACCACCTCAGAGTGTTCTTCATATTATGGTTGTTGTTATCCACCAGTTCTTGTACGGGAGCACCCACGCATGTGGGATGTGGCTTGGTAACGGTGGTTGGGGCGGTGTGTGTGTGTTTGTGCTCGTCTTCATTGCGTTCTTTTGGTGTTTCGCAACGGTGAGGGTTTTTTTTTT